TGAGGAGCGTAGCCGTAGCTACCCCGGCTTGGTGAGTAGAATGTCGAGACGCATCATCGTCAGATTCGCCGTCCAGATACGTGCCCAAGATTTCCGATTCTGCCTGTCCTGAGTACCAGCTAGGTGGATATGGCTGTGCAGAGCCGTAGTGATCTTGCGAAATGGTTGGGCTGTCCGGTAATTCCTCCGGAATAGGCGAAACAGACGAGGCGCGCGGTCGCGGCACAGGCACTGGAGGAGCAAGGCTAGCGGTCTTTTTCGGAGCGCCCCCTGGCGCAACACGCTGCTGTGGAGGAAGCGGATGAGGAACTGAGGGAAGTTCAGTGATCGACGAGACAGTGGAAATTCCTGACTGTCGAAAGAGGTCGTCTGTGGCGACGGAAACGCGAGGTGTTGAACCTGCAACACTGTCTGGGCTAGGCGGCCGAGGAATGGGAATTCTGATAGCCGGACGCGGGCCTGGCGGGATGGGGAATGGCTGCGAAAAGGAGGGCACTGGACGTTTGATGTTCAGCGGGCTAGGTGCTGGTGGGACATCGGACATGCTTCTCTCCGAGTAGACCGAAGGGGACGGGCAATCCGGACGGGGTGGGCGCACAGGCGGGGGCCCTTTTGGAACGACCAAGGTTGCGTGAGGGTTAGCCAGATTCGGCGGCAGAGGGGCGTTGTCGGGCAGAGGCCATTGTGTCATATGGGCTGGATTAATGCGGAATGAGGGCGCTGGTTCCTCTGGCGCTCTCTCAGGACGCTTTCCTGCCTGAAGCATCTCCCGCGCTCTTTTGACTGATCCTTTTCGCGCAACGTCCCCATCTGGCTGGGGCCCAGAGCCTGCGCTTTCAGCTTGGGGAGCCATGTGATAACAGTGCTAGATTGTAGAGCTTCTAGCAGTCATAGGAAACTTTTGCACAATACGGAAGTAAGACCGGCCAGCGCATAGGATGGAAGTCGATATAAGTGTTAGTAGTGGAGATATCTTTCTTCAACACCGGAGAGTAGGTCAATGCGCGAAATCCAGCTCGACTGGGTATGAGACGAAAGTCAAAAGCAGATGCAGGAAGATAGCGGTACAAATCCGAGATAATCAATGGTTTAGAACTGTCGGACGCTGTGCAACAGTCTAGGCTTGAAGCAATGGGTTCAAAATTCAATCAAATGAAAGTGGTCGACAATAAGAGTCGCAATGGCACTCAATGCCTCTGGAGGGAATGAGTAAGTCGATGCTACAATCTCAGACATCATAGAAAGCCAGATTAGAAGCATGCATACCGCACAGGAAAAACAAAATAAGGTCTTTGGTTCAAAAGAAGAAGGAAGGAAAGTTGACCCAGGTCAAAGAAGTATAATATCAGACCCCCAAGGCTCAGCGAAAGCTTTGGCTGTCCGTGAAACCCCTGAGCGCATAGTTAGACACTTGTTAGTTACACCTGACCACAGGGGAAAAGCAATACTTTCGGACTTACGGAGTCATAAATCAGAGAAAAAACGAATGACAGGGAACAAAAAAGAAAGAGCTTCTAGCCCTTACTTTGGGGGAAAGAGCGAACGACTGGAGAGCAGAAAAAAAGAGAACAACCCCAGTGTCGCGTCAAAACAGACTCAGTCTCAGTCCTTTGGGCGATAGCGCCTCACACGGATGGGAAAGCAAGGCCAAGGGTTTTCCAGCACCCCGGCGAACCAAAAGTCAGACGTTGATATTAAAGTGCTTCATTTCCGTCCTATGCGCAGGCATTAGGACCGGATAAGGGCGCAGACGTTTTAGAGTCGGACCAGTTCAGTCGCAAGTGGAGTTGATCCAGCGCCAATAGCGCGGGGACAGGCACGGAAAGCCGTTTGTGATAATGCTGGCTACTATTAAGAGACCCAGCGCGCGAAACCCAGCCTCCCACGTAAACAATGCATTTAACAGGTGGTTGACCAGCCAGACATCCTGAGCTGAAGCCGCATCGTTTGGGCGACAGTCAAGGTGACGAATAGCATCCCCTACCACGGCCTACCAACCTCATATGCATGATAATTCCCTGGTTTTCCCTTCACCATTTCCAGTGTACGGAGTCTGCATGCAGACGGCAAGCGGAGTCCCATGAGTCGCAATGCCATGCTACACAAGAGGGGACAGGGTAGGCGAGGACCGTAGATTGGCTCGAAAATGAGGATACTGAATAACCGGAGAAGCTAAAAGCTGGCGGGTCAGGACCCGACCTTGACTGTGCGCCAGGCCATTGGTCAGGAACGGAACGACCAAGAGGATGGCGGATGGACTAGGTCTCACCTTGAACAGGAGTACCGCTCCTCTACGGCCCTGGGATTTCAATATGAAACCGTCGACGAAGCTCCTCCCGTGTGCAGCGACCAATAAACGAGCCGAACAAGCAAGCGAGGCCTGGTCATTCAGCGCAGACCATCCGCGAGTCGCATATGATCCTGGCTCGGGTAGCTCCACTGTATATCAGCGCCTTCAAACTAACCGAGTCTCACGACCGTTATAGATTGGTGATAGTGACGAAGCGAGCAAACTCAATCAAAGCTGGCGATGGCGCCTTTTCCCCATTGCACAGTTTTCTCTCTCGACTTTCGGAATGGAAGGGAAGGACATCCGTAAAGACCAGCAATTGCGCCGGCTGTCAACTAGCACTCTTAGATTGTAGAACCCGTCTCGTTGTCCGTCGGGCAGAAAACTCATTGCGGTTTAGTGAGTGAGCCCCGGAGATTAAAAGCACAATAGTCGGAATACGGGAATAGATTAAGCGGGTAAACATCATATGAGGACCTGGACGGCCGGTGGGCGGGATAATAATAGTATCCTCCTATCTTGTCCATGGTCTGTGAGGGCAGTCTAGGTTAGGATACGAGGTCCATCCGAGGGTAAAAGGTGAGAGGCAGAGTGGCAGCAAAGGGAGGAGAGGAGGGAAGCCTTTGGAAAGCGACTGGGATGCGAGGCTCAACGGCCAGCCATCCTGCAGCCACTCCTGCAACTGCAAGTCTGCAACAACTACCACCCCCGTTTCCACTCGAGAAAAAGCCGACGGTTGTCTGACAGGGGAGTTCGTTGGTACCTTAGTTCTTTTCCCATCAAATGCTTGGTCAATCTGTCGAAGTCGCAAAAACTGGTTCGGGCCATAACAGAGTGGGTATGGTTTATGGGATGGTGTATCTAGTAGTCTGTCAACGACTAGATACTCCATTCTACCTATCCAGTTAGTTACTTATTATACCCGCCCATCTGGTAAGTAATAAATGTTCCCTGTTCGAATGCGCTGGACCTTCCAAGGCAGAAATAAAAATAGACTCTGGTGGAAATATGTACCGAGAGTGGGTGCATCTGTTCTTCTATCTATATTGCTCTTCATTTATTTACTCGACAACTGCCGTAGCTTGCATGTACTAAGTCTATTTATATGCACAAGTCTAGAATTTACAATATGGAGTGGCTACTGCCTGAGGCATGATCCTTGCGACAGGCAGGAAACTGATCCCAGCTTGAGCCTTTCACATCGCTTCAATCACCACTACCACCACCACTACCTTACTTCTGGCGCATGGTGGCCTAGAAGAGGACCCTGCGAGCACCACCAGCCTCCCTCACACCTGGCCCAGCTCACTCCGCACTCGATGAACTTCCTTCTCCACGATGCGCATCTCAACTACGACACTAGCGAGCTGGGATAGGCGACTTTCAACGGCTTCGGTGAAGGACTTTTGGGCGCTGCGAAGATAAGGGGGCACCAGAATCCCGTACCAGTGGATCGGGTCCGAAGAACGGAATTTCTTCTTTTTCGATCGCTTGGGCTTATCATCCGCGTCGGGCTCTGTTTGAGGAGTCTCGGATGTGGTCGAGAGCTCACCAGCTTGGGTATCTCCCTCTTCGCGTTGTGGCCGATCTTCCTCAGGTGATTCGGCATCTGATTCGGGCTTCTCGTCCGTGTCGGATTCGTCCTCTGAATGTTGAACGGTAACCGATTCGATCCCAAATACACTGGAGTTGGAATCGCTATTGTTGGCGTCAATCGGCGGTAAGTTGTCCTTCTCCGTTGCGTAGCGTTCCTCAGCCAGATTGGTAGGAGGTTGTAGAGTCCTGATCAGGATGAAACCAGTTAGCACCGCGTCTTGGAATGGTACAAACATATACCAGACTTACACTCTTCTTGTCGCCTTCATGCGCTCATCATAGTAATCTGCCCCATAGTGTCGACCCGGTGGACAAGTATAGTTGGCTTGGGCGAGAGAGAAGAACCCCTGGTGTTGTTCTCAGTATCGCTTACCGCAACAAGGCCTCGAGCTTGCTATGGCGAGGTGACTTACCGACGAGAGCTTCGACCCTAGCTCAGCTTGCAACTTCTGATGCTGATCTAGAAGGTGCAGATACCGCTCCAATAGATTGTCTAGCGACTGCAGCAAGTCATCCGGGGCATCTGCTACAGGAGCTTGCTTGGGTTCGGATTCCGGAGCTGGTGAAGCTGAACGGGAGGCGGGCGGAGTAGGGATTTGCGCCATTAGGATCTGAAGGTGATCACAGCGAACGATCTGCAGCGCATGGACACTATGTCAAACAAGTTAACAGTCAATTGCGAGTGAAGGCTTCAACCGTGGTTGTTGGCGAAGAGCGGAGCCATTCTGGAAGCCGAGGGGAAGATCCCCCGTGGAGGTCGGCCGGCGAGTCCGATAACTCCGTCATTGCGCCTCCGAGCCCAAAAGCAAAAGAATTTCCCGGAGAGCCTGCCAGCGATTATCCCTTCAACGCTCCACTTGCATCCCCATCCGGAAGCATCTGTTTCTCTTATATATTCTGCTTCTCAGAATAACCTTCTTACGACTCTTGTTGGGATAGAATCCCTGGGTCAAGTTGACTATTAGAGCGACTCAACGCTTGACCGGTACGCCACCTGCTTTGCGCTGTCCGAGGACATCTCAACCCTTCTGCGAAAAGCCTCTCGGAGTCGGACGTCCTCGGTAAAGACGACTCGGGCTGTTCCTCTTTGGGACTTGAAAAGCTAACGCGAATAGCATCGCCTAGCTGTACCCCCGCGTTAGCGGCCGAGCCGATTAGAAATCCAGGATCCCTGTATCTGGAATCGCTTTCAGCATCATCATCATCAACCTCAACTTTAGCTTGTTCTATCTTTCCATTTATACAAAGTTATAATCGCATCTCTCCACTCAAACTCGCCCATCATGTCTGTGCCGACCATGCAGCGTGAAACGGCCTTCCAGGTCCGGTCTCTGGTATGCCCTCCCTGCTGAACCTAGATTGCGCGGATTCCCTCCTACCCTCCTATCGCAATGGCACTGGGGCTAACCTGTCATTTTATGCGGACAGTTCCGCTCTTTGCTCCGTCAATCTTCCCAGTTCTCGAACTACAACTTCCGCGAGTATGCCCGCCGGCGCACGATGGATGCTTTCCGCGAGCACCAGAAGGAATCCGAGGACCGACGGATACAGGAGTTGATCCAGGATGGACTACAGAACTTGCGGATGATGAAGGTCAGTATATTTTTTGGATGGACATGATTAAATGTGTCCGCGGTTGTCTTTATCATGCAGACCATGCGTTCTGAGTCAAAGCGGGGGTGGACGCTAGTGAATGAGCTGCTAATACTTTTATAGAGGCAAACCGTTATCAGTCAGTTCTACCAGCTGGATCGGTTGGTTGTTGAGGGTCAGAAGACCGTGAGTATCCATGGAGCCTGTCTGTGAATGCCATGAAGCTAACAAGTTGATAGGGTAAGCAGACTGGCACGGAAGGAAACATTGTTCGCCAGAAGGATACTGGGTAAGATAAACCCTTCGTTATTTAGTTTCTTGGGCCTGTGCTGACGTCTATATAGCTGGGACTAAGCGCCCAAGGAGGATCATTTGTTTTTCGCAGCGAGAGTACGGAGTTGAGGGGAATCCAGCACCAATACGATATCAATATCATTTGGGGCCATTTGAGCCGATGGCCCGAAGATGAAGGAATAGCATAGATCGAAGGGTTCTGTATTTTTATTGAAAGCCACTGCGCTTTAGGTAGCGATTCTTACTCTTACTCATCTGGAATACCATTCTTCGCTCTCTATTAGCCCAATCCATCTCATCTCGAAATTGTAGTCGATGGTAGTCATGTTTATTCTATGTGAGGGTTCTGAGTGACCCCAGTCACGTGCGGGGCGGCGGCGCGGCGTTTCGCTGAGCGATCGCATCGCGCTGCTCCGATTCACCATCACCTCCAAAACAGCCTCGCCCTCCCAAGGAGTCCCTTTCTTTACAATCGGGCAAACCACACCCAGCTCCGTAGATTCACTGGGTGAGGGGCTCTCTGCCGTTATCCTGATTATTCTCCGAACAGTGAGACTGCAGGTCCGGCGCTCATCATGCCACCTACTGTAAGCTTGTTGCCGCGATCCACGACCCCGACCCCGACCCCCAGTTATCGATCCACTCACCATTGCACCAAAGCTTGCCAATGCGGTATAGAACGATGACATCGCTGATATGTACTGACGATCCTTCAGTTTAGATCATCTCGCTCTGGTCGCCAATTCGGCGATGGCGCCAACCGTAACAGAAGTCAATTTGATCACGATGTGTTCGAGGGGCTCCCTGTACGACGCTGGACACGTCAAACTCAGACTGTCTCGCAGGTCCCCAAGGCCGAAGGCACTGAAGCTGTCGTGCAGGGCCCCGGGGGGAAGTCAACCATTCCAGAACACCCAATGCCTCGAGACAGTCACCTGTTGAGCCCCATGAGCAGAGCCCTCCTGCGAGCTGCGCGAGCCGGATGCATCTACATCCGCCAAGCGTCAAAAGACTCCGAAGACGAAGAGAAAGAAGCGACCGACAAAGAGGAACAGCCACTTATCCAAAGCACCGAACGCAGCTTCGTCACGCGCAAGTGGTCCGCCGTACCGAGACACCTCGAATCATCAGAAGTTGAATTCCTCGCCAAGCGACGACCCGGTTTACCCACTCTATACGGTGCTGCTGCTGCGACTACAGATGGAAATAATGCTCCTGCGCCGATGAGGAGGACTAAGTTCAAGAAGGTCGACCCGGCGACCGGAAATATCTCGATTTACGAAGCCTGGGTACCGGAGGGACACAAGATTGAGGGAGAGATCACCGATGGAGCTCAAGTTGTAGCTGAAAACACCGCGGTCACTGTAACCCCTGAGGCGCCAGCGCCCGGTACGGTCATTGAGGGAGTTGGAGTTGTCAACGCTGAGGGTGTGGTGGTCGCGGATACAAACTCTGCAGCTGTAATGACTCCTCCGAAAAGACGGCCTCCTCCCCCAAAGCGCAAGGCGAAGGGCTTTGGAAAGGGGCGGAGAAAGAAGGTCATGTTTGCTCCAGGCGATGGCGCGGATGCCGCCACGGTTCATGGTGCCAATGGCTCCGGGGTGGATGGCGCTTCAGATTATGCCAAGGATGGGGATGCGTCACGCATGTCTGGTGATCAGAATGGTCAGGAAGAGGACGACGAGGAGGGTGAGGAAGGCGATGAGAGCGACGAGGGTGATGAGTCTATGCTAGAGGCAAAGACTCCGGAAACTCCAGTTCCGCGTCCCAGCACTGAGCCGCCGACCGACTCGACGCCTGTGCCTGCGCCAGCTCCGGTACATGAACCAGCTGCCACAGCTGGTTCTACAGATGCGGCGTTGCCAACCCCTGAGGTTCCTTCAGCTGCTCCAGAATCGGCGTCAGCACCGGCTCCAGCACCGGCTTCCGAGACAGCTCCAGAGCCAGCTGCAGAGCCAGCTGTCCCGCCCACTCAGCCAGAACAACCATCAGTCGCTGCTGAACCTCCTTCAGAACCTGCTACTGTCCAGCCCACATCAGAGGCTCCCGAGCCGACGAGGGAAGCATCAGGACATAAGGAAGATGTGGAGATGACCGAAGCTTACCCCTCAATACCTGGTCTTGAGGATAGTGTATCTGCAACCCCTCAGTCAGTTCCAGCTACTCAGCAACAGGAGCCAGCTCCTAGCGCTGAAGATGTTCCGGCGCCCCAGGAAGCCCCTCAACCTCCCGTTGCAGAAACATTGCCAGCTGCACCAGCTTCAGAGAAGCCTGTCGATAAACAGCCTGCAGATGAACCAGCACAGCCAGATAAGACAAGTACTGATACTGTTCAGCCGCCGACACAGGATGATCAGAATATGGATACGACCATGGAGGATGTTGATCCTCTCCCAGAAACCGCACAGGATCAAGCACCAGTGGAACGACCGGCGGAACAGCCGGTCGAGCAACCAGCTACCGAGCAAGCAGCTCCTCAGCCCAGTGAGGCTGTTGCAGAGAGCAAGGAAGTCGATCTGCTCGGTACGTTGGAAGCGAGTCTGAGCCAGCCGCCGGGCGAAGAACAGGGTGACAACCAAGGGACGGACATCGAGATGGAAATGGATGCGCCTCCCCACGTTGAACAGCCTCCTGCTACGGAAACAGCTGAGCCTGTTGCGGATAAGGCCGGGGAGCCTGAGATGCAGCCGGCAGAGGATACCACTGTAGCTGCTCAAACTGCCGTTGAACCTGCTGCAGCGGAACAAGGCGAACGGCCCGCTGAAGCACTCAACGAACAGCATACCGAGCAAGCATTCGAAGCTCCTGCACCGCAGCCCATCGAACAACTTCCCGAGGCTCCAGCGGAGAAAATGGAAGAGCCGGCAGGCGAGCCGGTCGTGGAACAGCCTGTGGAGTCGGAATCACCTGCTCAGCCCGAGCAACCCAAGCAGGAGGAGCCTGTACAGGCAGTTGAACCTGCGCAATCAGAGCAACCGGTGCAACCAGAACCACCCGTTGAAGAGGCTCAGCCTGTGCAGGTTGAACCTCTAGAGCCAGTGGAGTCTGTGCAGCCAGAGCAACCCGAGCAACCAGAAGAACCTCAGCAACCCGAGCAGCCTGTGCAACCAGTGCAGCAAGATCAACCCCAAGAGCAAGCCCCATCACAAGCTCTTAAGGAAGTTCCAACGGAGACTGCAGAGCCAACGCCCCAGACTGCAACCGAGCAGCAGCCCGAGCAGACTGAACAGACACAGACCGAGCAGGCGCCTGCTGAGCAACCATCAGAGCCCCAGGCAGATGAACCACCACAAGCACCAGAGGAGCACGTTCCCGTTAACGCAGAGGAACCAGCCGCTCCCAAGGTAGAAGAAACAACCCCCGTTCCACCTCAACAGCCAGAGGAAACCCAGCCACCCAAAGAACCTACGCCGCCCGCATTATCAGCTCCAGAGGAACCACAGCAACAGCCCGAGCCAGTACCGGCCCCCCAGCCTCCAGCTGAAGCACCCCCGGCCGAAGAAAACCCAACCGAAGAAGCTCTAGCTGAAGCTGAATCCAAGGAGCCTGAACCTATCCCCGAACCCGAACCCACCCCAGCCGAAGCCCCCTCTGCACCTCCCATCCCCGAGCCTAAGCCTGAGCCCACCCCCGAGCAACCAGCCGAGGAAACCACCAAACCCGAGGAGGCAAAGCAGCAGGAGCAACAAGAACACCAACAAGCAGCTGATACCAACACAGCATGAGATATTTCATGTCCATATCGAATAAAACATACAGGCGGAAACCGCTTAGAAAGACAACTTGTCTTTTCTGTTTCAATTCTCCTTCTTTCCTTAGAACCAGAAATTCTTCTTTAAACCTACAGTTCAGGCGCAGCTAGGAAACGGTGCTATGGCGTGTTATCACAGGGACTCGGAATGAATATTTCTTCTTTTTCATTTATCATGACTGTGGAACTATCATACACGGTATATGTATGGCTTGTGCCATTCGGCTTATCATTTTTATATTCCTTTTTTTTCTTATTTCTCTGTTATTGTATCATAGGGAAGTATATTTTTCTTCATTCCTCCTTATAAAACCATTTCTTTCACGTCTCTTGGTTGTTTAGTGTAGCGTATTAGTATTTTACACATGGCACCGTATACATTACTAGTAGTACATCGTTTATTCCCCTTGTTCGAAAATCAATTTTTGATGGTGATCGTCGATCACATGAACCAGGAAAGAAAAAGAATGAAACAAACATTAAATGATAATAATATTAAAGTCTCCACGGTTCATCATTTCGCCTGGATTGCTACTAACAGCAGAATCTAAGTACCTATAGATTTACAGTACTCGACACGGGGATTCTTTATATACTTACTCAAGGGAACGAGCAGGACCCAACCCGTTGTTTCAATTATTCAGTAGTAGTAGTAAGTAGTTTATTATTCCATGGCACTGGTATATTACTGATATCAAGTACTATGTAATATATACAAGAGTGCTGGAGAACGTGAGCTGAACTGCTGGGTTCGATGAGATTATACTACTTACTAAATACTAGTACTAAAGAATAACTGTTGCGCGGCATGCTCGATTCCAATTACTAAAAGCCCAGTGCCGTGGACGCATTATCATGATGGTTTAATTTATACCACCCGCGGAGATATATTCCACCAGCGTGTATGCCGCGTCCACCCCCAACAACAGAAATCACCATCACAATCGGCAACAGTAATACTAGTAACTTGTAGACCAAACGAGCGCACAATAGATTATTCTGGAATAAATAAATATCCTATTCTGACTGATCAATGAAATGAGAATCAAAGCTACTAAGCTCGAAGTCAAAAACAGGCAAAACAGGCTAGCTACACAGTCAATCCATACAAGACATAACAAGCAAATCAAAGCCAAGGAAGCACATTTTCGCGCATCAAACATTTCGTCCTATTCCAAGCCTGCTTCGTGAATTGATATGAGTTGATAGGGAAAAAAGAAAGAGAAAAAAAGAGACCAGAAACATTACATCAAACATAAACCGGAGACGAGTGAGGATATAACGATAACAAAAGGGGGTGTTACAGTTCGAAGAGCGCCATCGTGATAAAGGAAAATGGAAAGAGGAGAAAAAAGAAAGGAGAAAAGAAAATAAACAAATAAAGGTAGGTAAGAGAACAATAGCAAACCGAAGCATCCAGTAATTCCAGCAAGGATCATGGGAAGCATAGTGAAATACCTACCTACCTACCTATTGCATTAGGGCCTAATAAGAGGGGGAAGCTGCCGAAATTATATCTCAAGAAAGGAAACAGAAGAGGAAAGAGAAATGAAAAGAGTCTGTGGGCCAGAAAACAGGCCCAGAGAAGCCCAGAAGAAGAGAACAGAAAGGGGTAATAATGTTGGAGAAAAAGTAAGGTTAAGCCAGAAGAGATAGATGGAGGATTCAGTTCACTACAGAAAAAAGGTGATCGTCCAAGATAATGTTGAAGGTTCCGGAAGGACAAAAGCTGTCCTCGTATGATCTTTGATATAAGGATGCCATGAAGCAGCCTATATCGATGATCACTTTTTACTGCCTTTCGTGGCTGCAGTCCCCGTACGCTTTATCGCACCTTTGGTCTTGGGTTCCTGTTTGGGTGCTTGCGTTTTCTTCTGTGCTTTAGGCGCGGTGGTCTTGTGATCTGTCTTCGTATCATCCTTTTTCGTTGATTTCCTCCGTGGGTTTGTGCCTTTGGCCGCAGCGAGGATTTTCGCTTTGGTGGCTGCAGATGGGCGGCTTAATTTCGACGATGATGGAGCGGCATTCGGAGTCTTGCCTTTCGCGGTCTGTGCTGACTTCTTGGGCACTGTGGCCCGTGCCTTGACCTTCGTAGCTTTAACCTTAGGGAGTTTGATATTACTCTTTCCTTTGGGTTCATCTTTCTTCGTTACCGTTTTCTTCGTCGGCGATTTCGTTGTCTTCGTGGCCTTCGCAGCCGTTCGCTTGACAGGGCTGCCTTTCTCCTTTGCCTGCTTTGTTCGAGAAGCAGTAGTTTTGGTGACGGTTGCACGAGCTCGCGAAACCGCCTTCTTGACGCCAGACTTGATTGACTTGGCTACCGCAAGTTTTTGTTTCTTGTTGGCGCGCGAAGATGATACGTCGAGCGCATCGCCAGACTTGCGCTTGGTGCCGGCTGTCTTACCATTTGTCCGTCTGCTGGCTGATTTTTTCGGTTTCTCCACCTTCTGCTCTTTCGCACGTTGAGCCTTCTCCTTGGGCCTCGGGCCCAGAATGCCACGGCAATTCGATGAGCCACATCTGCATTGCTGGACATTCTTCTGGGAATACGGGCTAAAACATATAGTTAGTAACCCTTCGTGGCTGCAGATCCGCAGAGTAACTCACTCAAAGTTGTAGTCATAGGTCAGTTCCTCACCCGTCATGATGCCACGATCGCCAGCGAAGAGAGCCATGCGCGGTTTTCCAGCGACAGTCCACTTCTCCATCCGACAGTTGGGCTCACAAGAGTGATTGACAAAGCGGGCAATGGAGCCCCGAGTGGCATCAATGATCATATTCTGATCAAAGTACATCAGATAGTAGCACTGGAGCGTCGTTAGCAATGTAGCCATGAAGGAACCGTAACTGGGACCAACCAACCTCGTTATGCTTGTAGATCGTCCGCATTCGTTTCTCACACTCTGTCTGAGTGATAATCTCACCCGTGTACTCCACAATGATCTGGTTGGGCTCAAAGGTGCGGTTACTCCGAACACCGTACCCACGATCGGCCGTCTTGATGACTTCCACGCCGATGTTGTACTTGCCTCCAGCCTTGGTCCTTTGCTTAAGCTCCTCGAAACTGCGGTTGCCACACTCCTCACCCACCCCGCAATTACCTTCATCACACTCGTAGAACATGTAACGGTTCTGACATTCCTCGTCGCAGCCCGTTTCTGGCGTGCACATGCACTTGGACAGCTCACAGTGCTTGTTTGCCCGCCATATACTGCCTGCCTCTCCCACAAAGACGTCTAGAGCCCGTGTTAGCAATGGCCATTCCATCAGTCATGTGCAGAATACTTACTCTTGTTAGTCTTTCTCCACTCATCTGGTTTGGGTTGACCAGGAGGCAGCGGCGAGAAGACGTCGAAAGGCAGTTGAAAATCGCGTCCATTCTTCAAGAGTCGGTCGCCTGCAAACATAGGCAATGGCAGCAGTTTCCGTTGCGACTGAGTCTGAGACTGAGTTTGACTCTTCCGCCTGCTCCTATTCCGGCTTTGAACTGGCGGAGAGTCGGTATGTTCTTGTCCGGTGTAAAGACCATGCGCCAGCCAAAGCTTCCGCTTCAAGCGCGGGACTGGTTCAGCTGGGGCGGATTGCTCCTTCGGCGGCTCCTCCGTTGACTGAGTCTTGGACGGGAGATCACTTTCCGAGACCCGTCTCTTTTTAGGAGCTGGAGCACTCGGTGTAGGCGCGGGGGGTTCTTCCTTGAGAGCGGCGACATTTCGCGGCCGTAGACTGGCACGTCGATCCGGACCACTGCTCTTTTCTACCTTATCACGCGAGCGTTTTCCCAAAACGCTGCTAGCACGACCAACAAGGTCAGAAGCCTTGTCAAGTATACTTAATCGGGTTGACCGACGTAGTGACTTGCGACGTTCAGGTTTGGCAGGCGCAGAAACCTTTTCTTGGTCCTTGTTGTCTTCCTGGGTCAATACTTTTTCCACGCGCTTTCGTAACGTCCGTTGTTGTAGAGACATGCCGATGTCGTTGGGTTGCGGTTCCTGAGACGATTTGGAGACGGGGGTATCTGGCGCCATTGGGTGGTCGTCACCGTCCTCCTTATTCTGCGGGAGTGTTGTCTCGCTCCATAAGGCAGTTTCCATGACCGCTATGCTGTGCCGGAGGTGGGAGGAGGACTTTGACCTCGTCCTTTTCACCTCCGCAGCCTCGACCGCACTGGCTAAGACATCACCGGGGACCGTACGATCACTTTCATCCGCCGGAGAAGGTAATCCATGATTGTCCGCGTCCAAGTGGTCACTGAGCTGGACTGCCCCTCGTAAAGAAGCGCGTGTTACACGTGTAGATCGTCGGCGGAGGGTGGGTTTCTCGTCGGTGGACGCGTTATCGTTGTTGCTGGAGGTTTCGGAGCGACTATTTTCGGGGGTGAGGAGTTGTTCGGTATATTCGAAGGCCATTGTGCCCTCGAGGTGCTCGTGCGTGTGTTTCTTGAGGTCCGAAAGGGTTGCGGGAGTCGCGGGAGACGCGCCGGGAGAACCAGATCGACCTTCCATCCCCAAGGGCTGCGGGAAAAGGATATGCGGTGAGAACTAGGTTTTGGTACGAGGGGCAGGACCACCAAACAGCTCGGGTTAAGTTGATGCTTCCAGGGATGGATTGCTAGAAATTAACGCGGGGGGTGGTGGTTGTCAACTTCCGAGGGTGTGGCTGACCTGACGTGCTGCCAATGTTACGGGGGGAAGTGGGAAAGGTGGTCAGTGGTTCTTTCTCCTTAAACCAGGAGGAGGAGACAGATATCGGTGGTGAGCCTTATACCTCCTCACTCTTCATATCTTAACCCCGGAAAGCGGGATGGACGGCGTGAAAAAGCCGACGCAGAGAAGGTGTCTGAATGCTTAACCGGGGTTGAGGAGAAGGTCATGGACAAGGAATGGGGGAGGAGAAAGCAGGGGAGGGAAGAGGAGGAGGAAGAGGAAGCGAAGAGAGAGGAGGGAGAGGGTGCGGAGAGAGAGAGAGAAAGACAGAGAGAGAGAGGGTCGAGGAGAGCCGTAGTATTGTATCGTCAGCAACACCCCCGACGACGGCGCCGCGGAATGCAGTCAGAACCAGTGCCAGACATTAAGTAGCTAGATCCCCTCGCCTTTTCGTCGAAACCCCCTCGTTTCATCTTAAACCTGTTCCTCTTCTCCGGTCCTGACCAGGATTCCCAACTGGTGACAAGCCTCAGCTTTGTCCTCTTCCACCCCCGCCTCGCGCATCTCAAGAGACAGGCCTCCTACACCCGGACAATTCTTTTGCAACTACTATGAGGCATATAATCACCAGCCTCGGGTTTTCCGGGCTCACCTCGTCCGGTTCCTACGCTTCTTTGGCGCCAACGGCTATCTATTTCGGATCTCCTTGGTCTATCTCTGGTCCAGTATCTGTATATTGTACATAGCCCTAAATCATCCTCCGTTATCATGTTTCACCTGATCTGCCGCAACAGCATCAACAACAGACAGACACCTCATTGGACACACGTGTATATATAGTAGAAGATGGGAAAAAATATGGGAAAATAAAGGAAATGAAAAAAGAATATCGTGAAGAGAACGTAGCCAACGGCTGCTTCATACGTGCAACTCGCTCGAAAATCAAGACATGAACAGAAAGTAGGGTGGGGTATGTCAACGTATATGCGGTGAGCCCAATTGGTTCAATGAAAGAATGGCAATGAGGTGGTAACATCCATTAAGATCTTACTATCTTTGGAAATATGGTGATGAAGAAGCAAAGAAGAAGGAATGGCCCCGCAGGGAGCAAGAAGGAAAATTCATACGGAACTGGAGATGGGGTGGAGCAGCGAGATCAAACCGGAACCATCACCACTCACTATTGGGGTTGAGAGGGAGGAGGCACTTGTTGCATCTCAATGTCGTTTTGGGGCTCGACATTTCGAGGGAGATACTTGCGCTTCATCGTGCTCAGTCGCTGGTCACCTTCCTGATAAGGCTGCTTGAACTGCATATACGTTGGGGGCCGTGGCCGCAGGAAAACGGACAACCAGTTCCGGAAGACATTGCCCTGAGTGAAGGGCCGATGGCGGTCGGCTTTCGCAAACTTGTGCGAGTTCAGATATTCTCGGGTGGTCTCGCCCCGACCGACCAGGAAGAGATGGTAGGCCCATAACGAGGCCGGGTATGGTGCGGCAACCGCACCGTAGATCACCATAGCCCAGGGAACTCTCCATTTATCGATAGCGGTGCCAAAGCTGACATGCTCTCGTGATTTATACACCAAGATGTGTGCGAGACTGGCACCAAGCAAGAACAGAGCAAGGAGGGTGGAGGACGCCACAAAGGTGAAAAAGTACCGGTAGTTACGGCGGCCAACGCAGTTGTTCAGCCACACACAGTGATGGTCAAGAGTCTCAACACAGTTGTCGCACACACGGCAATGATAGCAGCGAGGAGGACGCCATATACAGCAGGTCTTGCAGTACTTCACAGGCACGTCCATGGCCGCAACGTCAGATGTCGCCAGTTTCACCATCACCCAGTCGTTGGTGGGAGGGCCAATTGCCAACGGATCATCTGCGGGATCCGGGGGTGGCAGCTGATGAAGATTGCGCGGGATAATCTGGAGAGGACTTGTTAGCAATTGATGCTGCATTGTCTTGCCTAGGTTTGTGTCTTACCCCAGGATCAACGACGGAAGCATGTATAAATGATGAGAAGCACAGGTAGAAAAGGTATGCGAAGACAATGGGAAGGGCGGGCGAAATGTTGTGCCAGAGCCAAGGACCCCTATGCACTGTTAGCCACTCGAACGCACCAAGTCAGAAACGGGATACTTACGAATATGCGAAGAACAGAGCCATAGGCACAAGCACAAATATCGCCGTAGCGATATTTACGGGCTTATCCCTGGAGTTCTGGAGTCTTCCCCGGCCGAAGAAAATGGTGTTGCCGACGAAATATTCGTAGTTTCTGCCCAAACGGCTTTTGCTTGCACCAGCCTGAGGGGCCTTGTCGATAGATCCAGGGGTAGAGCCGGCAGAAGAAAGCCTCTCATGTGCCCGTACGTCACGGCTGCTATCGTGACCCTGGTTTCTGTTCTGCAGAGACAGGAATGAAAGTGTCGAGCGGTGGGGGCTGACAGGCTCATTTGAGCCATGATAGTTTCCCCCGAGGTTAAGATGAGGTTGTTGGATCTTATAAGCCCTCTCCCTGTCGTAGAGAAGTTTGGCGCTCTCGCCCTGACTCCTTCCCGTGGTGTTACCGATAGGACTAGCATTCGAGGTGTTGCGGTCAGGGATGATAGGGTCCGTGAACTCTGTGCCTCTCGAAGGAGGAGCTTCTTGCTCTGTCGGAGGATTGGACCCTTGCGGTATCGTGCTATTCGAGATGAAGCTCTGCCTGTTCTGACTCGTATGATCGTTCCAATCCTCCGATGTGTCGGTCATAGTCCCCTTTGTCATAGGCCGACCCCGATGAGCCTGGAGTCGCTGAGAAGACATAGGACGGAAGAAACCTTGCGCAGCAAGCGACGGAATGTGCGATCGACTCTGCTTGCTACTAGCACTCCCTGGCCTAGTCCATTGACTGGTCGATGTGATAGAGCTCCTGGCAGGCGGGGGTCCTCGTCTGGGAGCCGACGCTCGGGACTGCGGTGGATGCGACGAAACTCCGGTATATGTCTGGGACTGTTCTCCATCATCTGACGCCATGTCCGTCACCCGGGACGAAATTCCTCCCACGGAAGGGGGTCGCGGAATACCGAGAACATGTTGCGGGGGCGCCGAGGCAGGCGTGTCGCTGGTCTCCGATATCGCGGAAGATAGAGGCATGTCGTTGAGCGTGGATGAAAACTTTCTACTCATATATCACAGCAATCTAACATATTGTGGCCAGACAGGAATGAAGCGGTTGGGGTTAGATTGGCGGAGCGTCGTCTGTGATCACGGGAGCGCGGTGAGGGAAGGTTATCGGTAGGAATAAAGTGAAGGAGTGACGAAGAAAATAAAAGATGTATATCGAGGTAGACTGGGATTAAGATGAGGAAAAAAGAATGTAAGCAACCTATATTGGACAGTGCTCTGTTAGCCTCATCTAAAAAGACGGGATCCAGACCGGTTTCTCCCCCTGTCGGCACGCGGGAAGGGAGAGAGAGAGGTCAAACGACGAACCTTGGAAATGAAGTTGCGGTGATTGCAAGACACGCGAATCACGTCACATCACGGTCGCAAGCCGAAACCCAAGACTTGCGATGGCCGAAGTGAGGATGGAAGACCCCAGACACCTCAGAGCCGGACAGGTGGATGACATGCGCAGAGCAAACACGAGGGTTTATCGCAATCGATACCGTATGATGACTGATTATTGGGGGGAAAGAAGGAAAGCCTAACCAAACCAGTCCAGCTTGAGTTTAGTCTCGGAGCTTAGCTCCAGGCAGTCCATTAGGCAGTCAGGCATAAAGGCAGCACACGAAAAAAAGTGTCAGGCCAACCACGCGGGCTGAGTCAGCAGCCGTGCCGGAAGCTGGCCAACGAAATGTCACCTGATGATGCGCCGGCAACATCATACGTCCGACGCCCACCGATTCTCCCACCTCCTCCCTCAAGACCCATTCGAACCACCAACCCCCCACAGTCCTCGCAGACACACGTCCGCTCCTCGCAATCCCATCAACATGTCTTCAATTGCTGCTATGGCCTCCCGCCGGGCCTTCGCCCGCCAGTCCTTCCTTCGCGCTCCCCCGCGCCGCTTCTACAGCTCCTCCAAGGTCGAGGAGGCTGGCCTCGACAAGGGCCCCAAGCGTGACCCCGAGCTCTACGTACGGACCCAATGAACCGATAGAAATCAATTGCGATTGTTGGAATCTAATTGGTGAAATTATACTTGAACAGGTTCTGCTCGGTGTCATGTCCGGTGCTTTCCTGCTTGCCGGATGGTGAATACTTTTCCCTTTTCTCCGATTTCTTTTCATAGTGTGTCAGCACGACAAAAGATACAACGCTCAATTGCGAAAAAAAAATTCCTCGACACTACTATACAAAAGTCAACAATGAATCGACTCAATTGGCTAACATATTTTTTCCCCCGAAAATAGGTACTTCGGCAGAAAGCCCACCTCCGTCACCTCCGAGAGCAACGTCCGCATCGGCGAGAGTGCCATGCCCTGGGAGCAGACCGACGAGAGTGGCAAGGTCTACAAGTACCAATACCACCCCCACGGTGACAAGAGCCAGCCCCTGCGCAACGCCCCCAGCGCCCTGAACACCGTCATTGTTCCCAACGTTACCCTGCCCGTGGTATTTACTGCCCCCATTCCCATGTGGTTGATATTCGCGACCAATAGTCGACAATGCGAACTGGATCACTAACAAACGATTACCTGTTCTTTTAGGACCTCCACGAGCGCTACAACAAGTACGGAAAGGAGGAGTGGGACTACTAAATAGTTCACCATCTGCAATTGCAGACAAGTCCGTGTTGTTGAGATTCTAGGAAGAAAGAAGTTGAGGCAGGTCGGCGCTGATCGCTGTACACTAAAACTTGTGAAGACTAGAGTATGGGGTGAGACCGTTTTTACAAGACCACTGTGCATAGTTTGTTGTTTTGACGAGGTTTATTTGGAAGATTGTTTTCGTTGCGCTTACACCAAGTTCCCAAACTGTGATAAGACATGTACAATCAAGTAGGCCGCTAAATCCAGGAACACGTAAGTAATCATGTACAAGAGTCACATTTCGTTAGACCAAAGTAGTTGAATGAGCAAGAGGGAGGAAAGAGAAGCCAGTTATTGCTAGAAAAGAAGTACAGAAGAAGTAGATGAGAACAGCCAAAGATTGAAACCAGTACAGCGATCCCTCACAAAAGCTTCAAGTCTATTCAAGATTTGGTCGCCTCGTTGGCCTCGCTGGCCGGCTTGGGGTCAGGCGAGCCGCGCTGCTCCTGGGAGCTTCCTTGCCCGGCAACTGAAGCTGGGCCGTCCTCTACAGCCTGAGGGGGCTGTCTTCCGACAGTTTCGGGATTTTGGCCTTCAACGTCGGGGTGAGGCGGGGCAATTTGACCGTCAATCATGTCGACAACACGGCCGTTCTCCAGACGAGTCTTCGTCTCATGACGGCTCTCGAACTGGACCTTACCCTCCTTCTTCAACTGAGCAACAAGTTCCTCGTCCAGCACGTTTCCGTGTTGATCACGGTACTCCACACGGGCCTTGGCAGTGTGCCGAGCCCGGGGCGTGACAGCCGGTTCCTGTGCCTCCTCCTGCAAGACTTCCTGTTTCTGTTGCGGAACTTGCTGCGGGACCTGTTGTTGTGGTGGTTGTTCCATCACAACGGGGGGTGCTTGTGGCACTGACGCTTGAGTCGTGGGGATAGCCGGGTGCGTGTCCACGATCTGGGTCACATATTGGTCAAGCTGTAATCATGTTAGCGCCTACAACATGAGTATCGGCTGCGGTGCCCGGGAGACTTACGCTAGTGTAAAATGTGTGGCAGTCAAAGTCCCAGCTGTCCATTAGCTTTACACTGTTGCAAGCATCCTGGGTCCAGGGGTTGCCGTAGACCAGAGGCGAGTACAGTGTGAAAGTAAAGATGCTAATCGCAAGGAAGACACCGGCCAATGCTTTGCCGATAACAGGGCGAGATGGTAGCCCAAGGCTCCTGATGCGGTTGGCAAGGAAGTCAAACTCCTGGCAGAGGGCAATGATAGCGAAGTAGAGGGCGGGGAAATAATGGTGCAGGAAAAGCTGGCGCGCCATGAGGTAGAAGGGGAAGTAGTGGAAAGCCCAGCCAAGTACGCTAGTACCGATTTCGTAGTCGAACCGCTTGAAGTTCACGTTATGGTAATCACCGCAGCTCCGTTGCCAACGAAGAACAGAGATTCCCTTGAAGATAATGTAGATAACAATGGCCACCGTTGAAGACCACCAGATGAAGGGGTTGCCCAGGAGGTAGACTTGGCGGTGATCCTTGCCCCAGAAGTTGATGCCACGAAGGAGGGTCGGCCAGGAAGGCGGGCGAGAATCCCAAGCGTGCGATTCAGTCAGGCCTGCATTGGTAATCCACATCACCTTCTGCAGCTCCCAAAACTTGCCGAAGAAACCGGGGTTCCTGTAGTTGACCTTCTCACCATCCTCTGCTAGCATAGGGTGGCTGTTCGATTCAATGTACCAGATGCTGTTGGGCAAAGTAGCGCCTCTGGCGCAGGTCACTTCTTGCTGGTCGAAACCCCACTCGGGAAGCTTGACTTTGTGGGAAAACAGGACACAGTTGGTCATAACGTGCACCAGGCGGAACTTGGTCTGGATGGTGCGCAGTCGCTTCTTCGCCTCCTCGCCCTCAGAGAGGGACTTCACAATTTCAACGCGGAAGAGATCGTTTGCATCTCCGGGGAATCCATCGTAGCCATATGCAGACACCTCGAATTGCCAATCCACATCTGTGACAGGAGGCCGTTCATCATGCGAGTGAATACGTCTCCGAGTGATAAGGTGATCCAACCTGATCACAGCGCCGTCTTCGATATACTCCGCGGTAATGTTGTCCCAGGCCAAGGGGCCCTCCACTGTTCCATAGGGGCCAAGAGGTTGAGTCTGGTTCTCGAGGACGAAGATGTTGTTCTCATCCTTGTGGGGGTAGAGCGTGATCTGCTGCTGCTTGCTTCCCGTGGGGTACATGTGGTTGTGGGAATGAAGATAGCCTCCTTGGGTGTTAAGGTGACGGATGCTGACGCGGGATCCAAATGCAACATCGGCGGGAACGTCCTGCATTCCCTTAGAGTTTAGGGTTGCTTGGAACTCGGACGACATGAATCCATCTCCATCGCCAGGGTTAACAAGGCACAGGAAGTGAATTCCAAACATGGCGCAGTAGAAGCTGAGGGGAATAACAATCAGGCAGAAGACACGAGCAAAGAAGTGCTTGAACCACAGGCGCTGTATGATAAGAAGTTAGTCGCTGGCTCTTGCAGATCTAGATCGAGGCTTGGAAGCACGTACCGGTGTGACATTCTTCGGGTCACCAAGCAGAACCCACAGTTGGAGAACGGTAAGCGACCCAACCCAAGCAACGGTGAAGAGTCCAACCCATTTGACACTGAGGGTAGCGCCCAGAGAGAGGCCAGTTGCCGCGAGCCAAAACCACCAGGGTCCACGGAAGGAATGAGAAGGTCCCAATTCCTGTTGGTTGGTAAAGCACGTGAAAGACAATGCGGTGAGCGCAGTGAAGAACACCAATGGGGAATCCAAGAGAATGAGACGAGACTGAGTAATGAGACCGTTCTCTGCGCTAAATCAGCATGTGCAATTGACCAGTCGGACAGGCATGGAGACCTACCAAAGATGACGACACCGGCACCTAGCACCGCGGTGATAGTGCGGCATCCCGATGCCCTCAATGTTAGGAACATCAATGGGATTGTGAGAACACCCAAAATCGCCGGAAGCATGCGCATGGCAACATATGGTACACCCGGTTCGAGGTAATCCTTTCCAATGTCCTTGAAATCGAATTCGCCATCAAAGCCCGCCAGCCAGCCAGCAAGTGTGATGAGCAACTTGGCAAGAGGAGGATGAACATCCATGAAGAAGCGGCCCTTAATGTACTTTGTCGCAAAACCTCCGAAGCTGTGCGCCATGCATTAGAACGAGATTATCTCCGGCATATGCGGGGGCGGAAAAAGGCATGCACACATACTGGACTTCGTCGAAGACAACGCTAGAAGGCTGGTAGATCCTAAACAACCGGACCACTGCCGCAACAATGGTTACCAGAGCCAGAGTTCTGTAGTCGGAGGCGGGAAGATGAAAGATATTGTTGTCCGTAACGCCATCTGAGGCATAGCTCGAGGAGGCCGCGACGGCCTTCTTGCGGCTCTTGGGACCGGGAGAGCGGCTGGGAGAGCGTGAGGATGATTTTGGCGGCGGCGTAACCGCCAAGGTGTCTTTGGATTTGGCCGCCATTGTCGAAGGCGGTTCGAATAGGGAATTGCAGAGAGAGAGAGGAAAGGAAAAAGGAGTGGACAGGAGACTGGTCGGGGAGGGGTTCAGAAGATCCTAAAAGCAGAAAAATAAAGGGCAATTGATCATCAAGAGCTACCGCGGGCAAGCGAAACAATGACGGAGCCCGTTACTGCACAATGCTCCAACTCCAGGGGAGCTTCGGGACCACCCCCGCTGAAGAGATACAGATGTAGATGGGGTGTGGGGGGTGTAAACTAAAAAGTGGACAATCAAAAGAGGGTAAGAAGTTATTTCAAAAAAGAAGCGCCATGACAGAGAAGAAGCGGAACAAAAGGGGACCGGGGTAGGCAGAGAGTGAGAGGGAAGATGATGAAGAGTGAGCACAGCACGTGTGGGACGATTTAGAGAGGCGGACGAAAGCGTCGGCCGCTTTAAGGCCAGATCGTCGGCCGCAGTTTGAGAGAGAGACTCTTGGTTTTCTGCCCGTCAGCAATATGCAAGGCCCCCATGCACGCCGCCAGCATCAGCCTCGTAGGGGCAGTTTAATTATAGCGGTTTACTAGTATAGTCTACAATGTCCCAAAATTCATGTTATCCGTCCAAGCTTTGAGCCATGACAACAAACAATAATAAACAATTATAGATGTTGCCCCAGCGTTCATCAACGGTCAAGTTACTTAAGTTACTAAGTAGATTGATTGACAACGCCAGGGACTGGCCCATCGCGGTTTAGCCTCGGGTCAATCCAGCCAATCACCAGCTTCCATGGCTACGCGCGCGGGTAGCTTGTCCGCCCGCGCTTAGTCTCCAATAGCCGCGCCCAGAAATGAAGTCAACCCGAAAAGGAACATCGCAGGTCGCCGAATCGCCTCAGTCTGGACTCTCTCATCCAATCCCGCGTCTCTCCATTTTCATCGGAGTGCGAACCATGGCATCTGCAAGTAACGGAGGTACTCCGCTGCCGGAAGAGGTGGGCAAGCCTCCTGAGGGCGTGGTCTTGCCACCCAAGGACATTCGAGGTAAGTTTGTCTATTCCTCCGAGGCCTGGTGACGCTTGAAAGCTAACATTGGGACAGCTATCGTCGAGAAAACGGCCGGTTATGTCGCTCGAAACGGTGTCGTCTTCGAAGGTACGTCACACCCCTGCATACTATTCTATCATTCGGACCGCGCAGCTCACGCGCAGACTCTTAGATCGCGTTCGTGAAAAGGAACGGAACAACCCCAAATTCTCCTTCCTCAACCCCGGTGATGCCTACGCTCCCTTCTACCAATGGCGTCTTGTCGAGATCAAGGAAGGACGAGGAACAGCAGTGGCCGCAGGCCGACCAGGCGAAGCAACCCCCGCAGCTGAACCCGAGAAGCCCAAGGGCCCCGAAGAACCGCCGGAGTTTCACTTTTCTGCACGGATGCCCATAATCAATGCGCAAGATCTGGAAGTCGTGAAGCTCACGGCCCTCTTCGTCGCTAAGCGTGGAAAGTCATTCATGACTGCGCTCTCCCAACGAGAAACCAGAAACTTCCAGTTCGACTTCCTGCGCCCGCAACACAGTCTCTACCAGTTCTTCACCCGACTCGTCGACCAATACACCATCCTCCTCCGCTCCGAAGGAATCGACGCCGCCACAACAGAGAAGAAGCGTCTCGCCGACCTGGAGCGCAACGTCCAGAACAAATTCCACGTCCTCGACCGGGCCAAGCAACGCGCCGAATGGGTCAAATACCAAGAACAGCAGAAGCAAAAGAAGGAGGAGGAAGAAGAGCAAGAGCGTATCGCATACGCCCAAATCGACTGGCATGATTTCGTCGTCGTTGAAACCGTCCTCTTCACCGAAGCAGACGACCAAGTCGACCTCCCTCCCCCAACCTCCCTCAACGACCTCCAATCCGCCTCCCTCGAACAAAAAGCCATGATGTCTCTCAACCCTCTCCGCATCGAAGAAGCCATGCCCACCGAAGAGGAAACACCCACCTACTACAACGCCTATCCCCAACAACAACCCGAACCCATCATCCCCGCCGGCCCCGCCTACCCCCCTCAAGGCCTGCCCCCTCAACAACAACCCATCGTCCCCCCACCCATGTCCACCGCCGCCCAAGAAGAAGAGCAATACATCCGGGAACGCATGGAAGCACGCGAACAAGCCGCCGCCGCCAAAGCCGCCGCCGCTCAACAACCCCAACAATCACAACAACCGATGCGCATCCGCTCCGACTACGTCCCGCGCGCCCAAGCGCGTCGCCAAAACCCCACAGGCGCCACAGCGCTCTGCCCGAACTGCCACCAACAGATCCCCGTCGGCGAACTGGAACAACACATGCGCATCGAGCTGCTCGATCCCCGCTGGAAGGAACAACGCGCCAAAGCGGAATCCCGCAGCGCAACCACCAACCTCTTCACAGTGGACGTGGTCAACAACCTCAAACGTCTGGCCAGTCAACGAAGCGACGTATTCGATTCCGCTGCTATGCCTGGATCTGGGGCCGTCGATCCGGAGGAAGAGGCCCGTCGCAAGAAGATGGCCGTCGAAGGTGCCGTGCCAGGTTCGGGACCTGTGCCACCGCCTGTTGTCGGACCTGCTGGCGCGCCTCCGAATCCTCAGAGTATGAATATCGAAGAGCAGATCAGACGCATTCATGAACGGCAGGCTATGACGAGAAAATAGACCAACTGTGTATTTTCCGTTTCAGTTTTTTTTTTTTTTTGACTCTTTCATGATGTGTCTATTTGGGCCCTTTTCTTTTTTTCTTTATATTTACACTCTTACCTGGCATACTGGGAATTAGGATCTATCGTTATATTGTCTACTCAGGCGTTTTTTGCAGTCGATGAAGGAGTATGTATACGTGATTGATAGGTCTTATGTGAGGCGAGACGTGTGTCGTCTACACTTCAGTTGTAAAATCTTGATAACATTTCATGTTTGATCTGGGTCTTACGTTCGTAAAAGTAAAGCAAGCTAGCAGGCATGTAGTAGTTGCTCACAAGCTTATTCCACGCGTAGTGAGTATACCGTCTACGTTTACGTTACGATACCGAAAATTTCTCGAGAACATCATGAATTTTTGCTCTACCTAAATTTGCTAGGTGCAAAGCCACTACCTTGCATTCCTGCATTATCCGCTCCATAAGCCCTGATATCTCTGCCACCATGTATATCGCGTAAAAAGAAACAATCGCAATTGGATGCACCGGGGGAATAGCAACAGAAAGAAATGTATGCTGCAAAAACTTGAAAGTGCCGGGTGGACACTATTCCATGTGACAAAGAAACGCAGAATTCATTGAAATGCGAGGTCATAGTTCATCCAGGAGTACCTTCGCGCATCGAGGACATTCGCATCCCGATAGCGTTGAGCAAACAAATGGTGCAGGGAGGTACAAACGCGAAAGGGTAAAGAAACTTGGGAGAAAACCAGATACACAAGAAATGAAAACAAACCCAATAGAAAGGAAAATATGTATACAACAGAGAAACAAGAAAAAACAAGGTATTAATAATACATACCCCATGCTGCTCTTGACTGATAATATGTCTCGGATGCAAAGGACAGGATCGGTGAGGAATTAAGCAAGCAGGCATGGTTGAACTATACCGGTATATGAGAATAGATGAAGTTTGAAAAAGGGTGGGTCCGCGCAAATGCTAGTCGGAACACGAAATCAAAACCCAAGTAGAGTGCAAGACAACGGAGGAACGTCCGCGTTGTCGAACGATAAGAATCGTGGGTCAAATCAGCATTGATCATATCAGTTATCACCATTCTTTGTGGTGTCGTGGTTGCTCAGCGTCTCCTCAACTTGAGTTGAGAGCTTGACGCTATCAGCTTCATCATGCGTATTTTCAGGGACGATAACCTGCATATCAGGTTGCTCGTTCATATCATCAACGAGGTCTGTCTTCAAGACGGGTGCGTTGGCATCCGTGGGAGAGACCGCCGCGCTGCTGGCTGTAGATTCTGACTCGGAGGGAGCAGACACAAACGGATCGTCTCCCACAGAACCCTCGTCATGGTTGTGCTCTTCAATGTCGTCTAGGTTCTTCGTTTCTATAGCGACATCCTCAGGGACAGTGGAGATGATTGACCGCTGGCATTCATCACGACCATCCGCAACAGGAGCCTCAGCGCCATCAGTTGGTGTAGGGATATTGCCTTGGAAGCCATTGGCGTGAGCAAACAAAGGAATAATTCCACCCCCGATGCGTGACCAGAACATTCTCTCCCTTAGTCGGATAGTTTCATCCCATGCATCCTTCTCCTCTTCCGCATCACCAATGCGAACATGGCCGTCAAGGATGAGACGGAGATATCCGGTGAACTCGCAGCTGGAACGGACTCTCTCTAAACACAGTACACACAGAGGATACCGTTGAGCGGTCTCGCTATCGGACGTCCGGAATCGATGGGTCCTCTCGTTGGTGGGACCGTTTCTGCGCTCGCCACACATTGAACAAGGAAACTCGTATTTCTTTGCTGATGGCGGCATGGGTTCCACCAGGAGACTTCCATCGCAAATCCCACTTAATACTGAGCGCCGCGTTAGCCATGAGATCCCGGGCGCAGCATCAAGCCGGAGGGTCGGTTCGATGTCTTCCGAAAGCACGCGCTTGTAGAAGCGGGTCTCCTTGAGAGGAATGTGGGAAGTCACGGGCTGTGGGGAAGACACGCTGCCATTGGGAGAATGTGTTTGAGATTTGGCGGGAGATGACGACGCTGAACCAAACCCACTAGCCAGACTCATGACATTCAAGCCAGCGTAAGACCCACTTGTGGCCCGACTGGCAGGCTTGGAAGCTCGAGATGTCGTGAAGAGTTCCCGAAAGTCCTCATAGGCTTGAATATCCGTTCGACAGACCGGTTTGATCAGATGGGGGAAACTAGTGGACGGCCCTGGAGTGAGCTCTTCCAATGTGGGGATTTCCTCTGGTATGTCGGGAATCTCAGAATTCTTGCTGACATGCAAAGGATGCCGCGGCATAGTTGGTGATGACGGAGCTGTCGAGATGATTGTGCGAGTCTCGCTATCATCCTTGGCGAGATTGAGTCCATGCAAAACGGATTTTAGCTCGGCCAATTGTTCTTGATGTGATGCAAGCAGTGCTTCGGTGTCTTTGACTTGAGAGCGTAGCTGCTCGTTTTTCTTCTCTACGGCCTCACGCTCAAGCTTGGCCGCGGCGACCATCTGTTCAAAAGGTAACAAGTCAGCTGGTCGACCCGACATACAATCGCATATGGAGCTTACCTTGTTGGCTTCTTCAAAAAGCGCGGCAGTTAATGTTTCTAATTCTTGTTCAATGCCCTTCTTCTCCTTTTCTACAAGGGCGCGCTGAGCCTTCTCTTCAGCCAAGGCAGCTTGTAAGCGCAACATCTCATAGTCCACGTCGGACTTCTTGATCAAAACTTCCTGATCAATGTCTTGCCGATATTTTTCGTTTTCCAACTCCAGGGCTCGGATCTTGGCTTGTGCCTGCTCCAATTCCTGACGGGTGGCGACGAGGTTGTCATCGAGTGTCGTCTGATTGTTGATCGCCTGGACCAACTTGACGCTCAAAGCTGCAACCTCATTGCTCAAGTCTGGATGATGCGACTGTGTTGACTCTGACGTCTCCGAGTCTTCCGAGTGGCTTGCAAGCCTGGGATCCTTCAAGGTGCTAAAGCTAGTTTCCTGGAAGTTGCCAACACTGGACGAGCGGACGCCCGGTGTCGGCTTCGCAGTGACGGCTCCAGACAGGTCATTTGTGGACCTGGCTTTCGTGACGGTCTTGTCGGGGGAGAGAGAGTTGTTCTCGGAGGAATTCGACCGTTTGTGGCTGGTGGGACGTGGCAGCATGGTAGACGGGGATAGGAAATTGTGGCGAGAGTAATAAGTATGGAAAGCAATAAAACTGTCACCGAAATTAGCAAACTAACACAGCATAGGCCAACTGCATTGGAGAGACGTGAATATACATACTCGGCCATGATGATCGTGAGATGTCGACACGGCAAATGCAGCAGAACAGGGTATCACAGCAGAAGGAGGCGCGTATCACAACCACGTATATAACGGACCGGCAACGCTTCGCATCTGCAAATCCTGGCAGAGACAAGGGCTGGTTGAGGATGTATGCATGGAAGGATTAAAGCAGGGGGGGAAGCAGTAACGTGACGTCCCCGCCAGCGCGCAGACTGGAGAGGAATCAGCCAGTCGGAGAACGAAGCATTGAGTCGCAGAAAGGAGCGAGATGCAATTCGATAGAGAGCGAAAGCCGCTGAAAGAGGGGTATGAAGGAGAGGCGGCGATAAGTAGGGAAGGATAGACCGGAAGGATGACGATTAACTGTGAGGCGAGAGCCGGGTTGAGGGAGATAAAGGAAGGGAGAGAGACGTCTTAGCGGGTAATCAGTGGACGTAACCCCTCTTTCGTCAAGGCAGATGATGGGATTTAGTGGGAAGATTAGTGTAAGCTAATTAAATTAGTTTAAAAAAGAATTATAGATAGAAAAAGATGGTCAGCGACCAGGGGGAAGAACAAATGAGGAGAATTAAGAAGAGGTCGAGGACGACCAGAGAGTAGCAGCAGAGACAAGAACAAGAACAAGAAGAGCACAGCACGACTGCAGGCAAGGCCGGAGTTGGTACGGCAAGTGGATTCAGGTCGCAACAGGCAGTCAGTAACAGTAACAGAGTATCATTTCCACTGTACGTCTGACTCGGTATCGCCGCCCTGCTTGCCGTATTTACGGTTCCGATACCGGCTCCACTCGGAACTGAGCCAATCATCAACACGGAGGCAAACCACAGGCGCTTAAAGATTACCGTATCTGGAAGGTCGATCGCCTCCCGGCGCGTCTCCGGTGGTGGACAATCACAAGGGCCGGCGTAAAGCTTGGGGCTGGCTGCCATTCCATCCTTTGGTTCATTCCTCGGTGTGGATGAAGGGAAAAAGGCGGGGAAGAAGAAACTAACTACTACTACGTACTACAATCAAGTCTGACTGATTGACTGTCCGAGTGTAACACGCCATTGCTAGATTACGTATGATATAATACTCTGTATGGATGGTGGAATCATTTTTTCCCATCACTCGCGCCACGTTCTCATCCGGCTTAATGGTTCCCACTAGGTACGATCTCGATACGGAACCCGATCTCGCAAGGGCCTCCGGAGACGGTGACTAGAGCCTCTTGGGAAATTTGAGAAGAGCTCGTTCCAATTCATAAGCTTTTTCTCTACCTGCAAAAACTCTTCACACGCTTTTCAATAGTTTGGGCGCAAAGATCCATCCGATGCGGTTGGGTGCGACATTAGGGCGTTCTAATTTGGGGATAATCAGCCAATCTTTCTCCCAAAATCAGCCGGATCTTCGGCGGTGGATGGTTTCTTTTGGCTCAAAAAGGCAGCTCTTCCTTGGCACACCTGATGACGACACTTGCAGTCACTGCGACCTTCCACTCTCCGACACAACGACACTCAACTTACTTTCTCCTGAAGTTTATATCCGGGCTTGTTGGCATTGCAGCCTCGGTCTGCCGTTTTGACTCTAAACAAGTCATCTGCATATACTTTTGTATAAATGAAGAATAACAATTGTGTCTGAACAAATTATGCATGCAATTGTGCTATGCTGTATGTGTGTGTGTGTAATCTGTAATGAATTGGCCCAAGTGCCCAGCCACCCCAGTTCCAAACTAGTCTAGTACTGGTCTGCGGACTATTGAATGCCGGATCGGGCCAGGATGCCCGACGGCCTCATGGCGCCCCACTCCATGTGCCTGAGTGCCTGAGGCTCGTAGGCATCAAAGCAAGGTGGGGTTGGAAAGTTCTCCAAAGATGGAATGCGTCGAATCATCCAGAGTCTAATCCTGGGATAATCTCCCCGCTTCGGCATCGGCCTGCAATTCATTCTGTCCGAGTTTCCTCCCGTCACTTTTTACCCCGCATCACTCTTAGAATCCTCCTGGTCTTTGAATCTTGCATACACAGCACATCAAAAATCATGGCCGACGCAGAGCTTGAAGAGGTCAGTATGAAACCTTTCACACCTACATTTAACTTTCCCCGTCTTCATGGGTGTCCATGCTTGATGAATATCCGGATCCGCGCCTTCAACACTCTTCGTATCAAATGCTTAAATCTGGTATAGATCAGACGGGCCCGTCTTGCCCAGCTTCAGCAACAGGGTGGCGCACGTGGTGGCCCTTCGGACGGCAACCAGGAGGAACAGAGAAGGTATGATTCCCAGACCTCATTTTTACTTCTGCTTTTGTAAATCCTTACTGACTTGTCGCTCCACTCTAGGCAAGCTGAAGGTATGCGCAAACTCTTGTCCCGCTAGAGTAGGACCTGCTGGAGGAATCCCTCTGCCTACATCACTCTCTTGAACAATTTGCTTATTCCTTTACGAATAGCCGACCGCCGCGCCACTATTCTGAACCAGATCCTCGAGCCCGAAGCCGCCGATCGTTTGGGTCGCATCCGCCTTGTCAAGGAATCCCGCGCTGCTGACGTCGAGTCCCGTCTCATCATGCTCGCCCAGTCCGGCCAATTGCGCCAGAAGGTTACCGAGGAGCAGCTCAAGCAGCTGCTGAACGCTATGGCCGAGAACCAGCGCAAGGATGAGGAGGAGCACAAGATTGTGATCAACCGGCGCGGCGGCTGGGATGATGATGATGATTTGTTGGATCTGTGAGATGTGTTTTTAGCGATGGGTGTTCGGTTTGTGCTGAATGCTTGCCATGTTCAATGATACCTCCAGCTCTCGGATCTCTACCTTCACGACCAGAGCAAATTGCAGCTGAATTTCTGCTACGACAAAAGTACAGTTCTTCCAACTTGATAGTTCATCAACAGTTCCTCCACCGAGGACCTAATGACATTTGGCCGAGTAATCATTCAGGAAGTGGCCATTCCTCATTTAATGATACAGAAATATAGCTTCCTCAAGAGGAAGCAAGGAATATAATACATTTAACAATAAGCATACTGACCCCATCTGAAGCTATTGCCCCCTCTGCTCCATCAACTCCTTCTCCCTCTTCTTCTGCATCCGGATCATCCGCCTAATCTCCCTCATATCCGGCGGCCTCTCAATGCCCAACTCCGCCCTCAACTCCCCGACATCCTTCTCCAACACCTTCTCCCAATAAACATTAATCAACTCCTTACTCTGCAACCCACTCTTCAACGCCCACGGCAAATAAATTGAAAACAGCCGTTCCCTTTCCGCAGGCTTCAACCTCACCGACGCAAACAAACTCAACCCAGTCATGGGAATCAACGTATTCAGGAACTCAAACGCCTTGAGCGCCAGCTCGCCCTCCACGAAAATCGGCAAACCCGTCACAGCATGGTAGAAGTCATGACACTCGCGGTACCGCTGCATGACGTACGCGCATTCCTCGTCGTCAATGTACTGCACATTGTCCCGGGTGTCCGGGGACACGCCTTCGCGGTCCAGCCAGGTAGCGTAGGTCCGGCCGACGGTGTTCTCGGGGAGGGAGCGGAGATATGGCAGTTTGAGGGTCTCGGAGGTGATGCGCGGACGGTCGCGGAGGATCTGTCGGCCTGTTGGGTCTGAAAGCATGGCGTCACGGAGCCGGTAGATGAAGTAAGGTGTTGCGGTGGCTTCGCCGCAGGCGGCGATTAGGTCTTTTTATGATTTGTTAGCTACAACGTAGTATACTAGGTATGAGGGGGGTATATGTACCAGCTCTTCGGGGATTAAGAAGAGAGCCCACAGCTGACCCAATGGCCAGAGCACCGCGCTCTACAAAATTCAATGGCACATGGCCGGGATAGTTTGGCGGAGGACGATTGAAGCCGGAGATAGGCCGTGAGTGGGCGCGGAGCGATAGCGGTGCTGCGCAGGAGAGGATATTGTTTAGCTCGCGCGCGTGCTGGACGGCGTTGCGTGTCCGGAGGACTGTCATCGTGTGTCGAGTGAAGGGTAACACGTCGCAATGGACATGGTCCTTGGGCCGGATGGATGTAGATGAGGGTGTGGTACGATGGGATGCTCTCGGAGCCGGATGGCGCTAGTGGTGGATGTGCGGTACCGTAGCGCTGATAAAGATCGATAAGATAATCTTTTTCTTTATCGGCGGTTTTTGGCGCATCTGATCGTCTCTGCTTGGATTGCCATTGAGGGGTACAGAGGCATTGGTGTCGCTGGATATACTTTGCTTAGGGAATAATTACGCAGGTTCAAACAGGGGAGCTTTGTTTGCCTTCAACCCTCCCATAAACACTTGTCACACCCCTCCTTATCCTTCAATCCCCTCCACACCAACAACTTACCCCTCAATTGTCTAAACGACTGTCAACATGAAGCCCACCTGGTGGCCCGGCGAGAAGCACGAGCTCTTCACAGAATGGGCTAAATCACAAGGCATCGTCATCAATGGGGTCAGTCCGGCGCGATTCCCTGGGCGCGGTCTCGGTATGATCGCAACGCGAAAGATAGAAGTACATCCCCACGCTTATACCCCCTCAAACTCATATACACCAACTAACATCCTATGATATAACAGAAAGACTCCATCCTCGTGAAAGTCCCCCACTCCGCAATGCTCACGCCCTCCAAACTGCCATCTACCTTCACCTCACGCTTCCCAGCAGACACACCAACCCATACCCTCTACGCCGCATACCTCACCAACGCCAGTCCCTCCCACATAACACCATGGCGCAACACCTGGCCTACGATGGAAGACTTCACCTCCAGCATGCCGATCCTCTGGTCTTCATCTTCCCCCCTATCTCCCAGCAGCAACAGCAACACCAGCAGTATCCAAGACCTCCTCCCCCCCTCCATCTCCAACACCTGGAGCACCATAACCCCCGGCAAACGGAAACACAAGTATGACACGCGACACCAAAACCTCCTTAAAGCACAAGAAACCCGTCTCCGCAAGGCATGGGATATCGTTGTCCGAGTATTCCCCGAGACAGATAAAGACCTTTTCACGTACCATTGGGTGATTGTGAACACGCGAAGCTTCTTCTATCTTCTGCCGGGGGCGGAGATGCCAGAGGATAGGAATGATGCGATGGCGTTGGTTCCGTTTGCGGATTATTTCAACCATTCGGATGTGGCGGTATATACATTTCCTTTCTATCTGTGTAGGTTGGATGAGATGGCTAACGTGAGATATTGTGGATGGATAGTGTAATGTTAAGTTCGACGGGGAGGAGTATGTCTTTCGTGCGGCGAAGGAGTATAGTACGTTCTTTACCTCCATTCTATCATGAGTTCTGGAGACGAAGACGGTGGTATACTGATATGATATACAGACGAAGGCGAGGAAATCTACATGAGCTACGGCCCTCATTCGAACGATTTCCTATTCACAGAGTGTAAGCCCCCATCACCCATCCCCCATCCCCCATCCCCTACCATTCCACCACTCACCATCTCTACCCCATACTAACCACCACACCATCAAGACGGCTTCTACCTTGACACCAACGCCTCTGAAACCCTCTACCTCGACGAGATAATTCTGCAGGACCTGAGCGCCTCAAAGCAAGAAGAACTCGAGTTCCACCAATACTATGGGTATGCCTCCCATCCACTTATCTATCACCACGCACCACTAACGAAGCCATAACCAAACACAGCAACTACCAACTCACATCCGACGGCGTCTGCTACCGAACAGAAATCGCCGCCGGATTAACCTACATGCCACTACGACTTTGGCAGGACTATGTGCTCGGATACTCGACCGATGGGGTAGACGAGAAGATGTCAGCGGCTGTGATTCGGGGCTGGATTGGTGTGTATATCAAGGAAGCGGATGAGGCGGTGGCGCGGTTAGAGGATCTGTATATTGCCCAAACGGAGGATCAAGGTGTGGTGAGGATGTTGTTGAAGAGGTGGAGGCAGATTAAGACGCTTTGTGAGGAGGCGAGTGATCGGGTGTCTTCGTGATATGATATCATTTCTATCTGGGGAATGGAGATGTGTATAGAATAAGGAAGGGGTATATTAACTAGTAGTATCAATCGGTTCAAATATAAGTACAGGCATTCGTTCTGGAAAGACTACAGAATGTCGATCGGGATGGCGCTGGCATCTCTTTGCTTCGACGTGTGCTGTTTGCTCAAAACCAGGTGTTTCATCATGTAGTTCACCACGCACTTAATGCCGAGTTCTTCACCTCTGCGCACAATGTAGCCGTTAAGGTACTCGATCTCGGTCGTTTTGCCGGCTCGTACGTCCTGCAGCATAGAGCTGTGGTTCTTAGCTGTCTTGCTGGCAAGCTGAGTAACCATCCAGCGCAGTCGCTCTGGGGAGAATCGGCTCTCGATGCCTGGTATGCCCTGTAGTTCCGGGAGGGCGCAGATCACGCTCGAGATCTCATGGAGGAGCAACCGCGTCACGCGAGTGAAGCTGTAGTTGTAGAGCAGCTCGCCATTTTCGCAGTTCATCACCGCTGTCAATGGGTTGATGACGGCGTTCATCGCCAGCTTCTCAAGCTGGTAGAGCATAAGAGCGGACGGAGTCTCCGCGACAGCAACCAGTGGCGGGGTGAGAGTCATGGTCCGCAGGAGATACTTGGTGCTAGCAGCCCAGTCATCCTCGTTTTCGCTAATTGGAGTTGTCGAATTCGAGGGCAGGGCCGGTCCGAGGATGGTCGTGCCGACGCCCGTATGGGCCACCTGAAATGGTTCTTTTCTGCGGGCCAGCCCATGCGAGACAATGCCTTGCATGTAGTTCGGGCGTTTGCGGGGATCAGGAAAAACCTTCTCGTTGAGCTCATCAATGACGCCCATGCCGTTTTGAAGTAGTAGAACTGTGGAGTCGGGTGTCAGACGATGCTTGACGGACTCCAAAGCCATAGCCGTCACCGGCGCCTTGACACTGACGACCAAGCATTCAATGCGCTCATCATCTTGGACAGACCCGGCTAGGGAGCCTTCAACATCGCCCTCATCGGCCCGAGCCATGGCTTCCCCGGTCTTGCCGTTTTTATCCCAGTATGGGAATGCATGCCATGCTTTGCCGTTCAGGACGTTGACATCGAAGCCCGTCTTGATATCGTCCAATCCATTCGAGTTAATTGCTAAGCACTTTTTCCTTCCCAGCCATGACTTGTACAGACTGGGATTGTGCAGGAGGAGAGTGACAGGCGGAGGCGACGGACGACTTGCGAGAGAGTGGGCAACGAATGTGCCTACATTCCCAAGACCTAGGATATGTATGCGTCCAGACAATCGGCGCTTTCCACTATCTTTTGACGCTTCTTCGGCGTTCTGCATCCAGGTCGACACGAACCGACCATATGATTTGGGATGCGAACTACGCCTTGAGACAAGACATAATTCGCAGACTGTCGTCCGCCGAAGCGGACTGCGCCCCAGTATGTACGACACTTTGACGGCTGAAGAGTAAATACAGTGTGTCCGAGTTCAGGTACCGTCCAAGCTGAGAGGTGATGACAATGTAATCAGCGTCTCATTATAAGATGGAGCAATTGCCAAATACCCCCAGGACTTCGCGTCGCAACAATGATATGCAAATTAATGAAAGATATAGATCGAGAGTGAGTTCGGCATCGCATGAGGGAGAAGGCGGACAAATAGCTCTTTACCGCCTTAGAGACCGCCCGGAGATAAAAAATCGACATTATCCGCTTCTTCTCAATCCAACATCATCGATTCCTCCCCAAATATTCGTACACATAATCAAAATGGAGGCAGCAGATCTACTTCCGCTGCTCGAGCAGCTGGATGACAACATTGATGATCTTGAAGAGGCTTTGAAACCCATCCTGGACAGCTCCGTGGTGGAGACGTCAAAGAAGCTTCCGGTGATGGACAAAGCGAAATTTCACGTCTTGGTGACTTATGCGCTGGAGTCTCTTATTTTCTGTATGTCACTATTGCAGCTGGGGCGAA